GTCAATTGTATGCACTTACTCGGTAGATGACATTGAGAAAGTCATAAAACTGAACTTCGTTTCTAAATACGACTATTTCTCGCGAAGATATAGCGGTACAAATGTCGAAAAATCGGCCATTTTGTTACTAAAAAGAGAAGATATGGCCGATTTTTAGAAATTTGAGTCATGATATCTTCGCTAGGAGTGGTTGTATTTCGAAACAGACTCCAGTTTTATGACTCTCTCAATGTCGTCTATACCGAAAAAGTGCATAAAATTAACAATAGCTAACAGTTAATCTTTTAGCGGCAAGTTTGTGATGTCATTTTCCCGCCAAAATGTAGCAATTCGAGAAACATAAAACATACGATTTGTAAGAATGAAATGTTCTATGTTTATGGGAAATTTTGTAGAAACAGGATGGAAATTAAAGAAATTGAAGCACGTTGGCGCTTCGGCATGCATTTTTGTCAGGCGTGAAAGAATATCTTCTTAATTCAGGCTCTAATCTGTTTTCTTCAGAGTTCCCGAAAAGATGCTACTCAAATACGCCAGTTTTGGACGAATGCGGAAGACGATGCAAATGCGTGCGAGGAAAACTTGTCCAATGCTGCCGTTTACGGAAAGAATTCTTAGACATGACTACAGCAGAGCGAAAACGCTATATACAAACTGTGAAGACAGCTTCGACCCACCCAGCTTATAAAGGAAGATATGAGAGGTTGCTCACATTACATCGGAATATATTCTTTAGTCGCATTCATGAATTGGACTTTTTTCTGCCCTGGCATCGTTGGTTCATTCTGCAATATGAAAACCTTTTGAGGGAAATTGACTGTCGAATTACTGTACCTTTTTGGGATTGGAGTTTAGTAGGTAAGCCATGGGAGCGAGGTTCTTAAACGTTGCTTGTGGTATCCAAATAAATGAGGCACTCTACCTAAAATATTACGGGCATAGCGGACCCCGAACGACTGGGGCAGGTTCTAATCGGGGACATGGTCCCCCGCAAAATGTTTCCATTTTTAGTGTCTCGAAAGTCCATTCATGGTTTTTACATCTTTTATGTAATAGACGAAAACATTAAGAGGTACGCACACTCTGTTTCTTCTTAGTATTGAAAGAGTAACAAAACTGGTCCTGACGGAATGTTCGGGGTAGGAGTTCGGCCACCTTTATTTTCGCTGTCGCTTTAAATTTGCTTTTGTTGGCATTTTTTCCTGTTACTATTTATGAAATCTTAAAAAAATTAAAATTCTTTGCATTTCTTTGATATAGTTTCATGCAGCTATCCATATTTTTTGTTTTTATGCGCAAAAAATTGCTTAGTCCTTCAAGAGTAATCATGACATATATCATATTATGTAAATTATTTGTTCTTGCTTATTTGCCATATCACAATTTTCTTAATATTGATTGACTGTTTGAATCCTATGATTAAATATGATTGATTGGCTGAAGTCATCTCTCTAATGTGATTGGTTGAAAGAACTGCTAGGAGTGCGATACCTGGCTGAAATCGCACTCCTGTGAACCAATCAGATTGCAAGAAACACCTTTGATTTCAAAATGAATATAATAAATAACATTATTTTCTAATAACTAAAGTTGAATCTACGTTATGCTAACCGCGAAGAATTTTAGAAAGGATGAAAAATTACCCGGTGCTATCTGGCTGTACTGCAGCCGGTCCCAGGTCTAAAATTAACCTCGTTAACCTGAATAATTTCATTAAAGTGCATGATTAATTAAGTATTCGCCGTCGTTGCAGGATTGCCAACGTACATGCGTGAGGTCCCTAATATGGGTGTACGCTATACTCCGGAAGAAGATCTCATAGTTCAAGAAGATAATTATTATTGCTGCTTCAATAATCTTTCTTTTACTGGAAAAATAATGTACAATCTTGGAAAAAATATGTGTAGACTTTTCGAAATATGCACCCAAATTTGAAAACATATGATGAAAATGTGAGCATTTTTCAATTAAAGCGACTATTTACCGTAAACCCCTCCCCCTCCCCCCATAATCAATGTTGGTTCAGGTAAAGTGGATTTGCAACACATATCACCTAAATACCAACATTGTATAAGGGGAGAGGGAGGACAAAGTTTGAAAATTTAAGAAGTCTACTAATTTTTTTCCAGGATTGTAGTTTTGCTGAATCGTGCATCGTTACTGATTTTAGTACTATCTGGCTGTACTGCAGCCGGTCCCAGGTCTAAAATTAACCTCGTCAACCTGAATAATTTCATTAAAGTGCATGATTAATTAAGTATTCGCCGTCGTTGCAGGATTGCCAACGTACATGCGTGAGGTCCCTAATATGGGTGTACGCTATACTCCGGAAGAAGATCTCATAGTTCAAGAAGATAATTATTATTGCTGCTTCAATAATCTTTCTTTTACTGGAAAAATAATGTACAATCTTGGAAAAAATATGTGTAGACTTTTCGAAATATGCACCCAAATTTGAAAACATATGATGAAAATGTGAGCATTTTTCAATTAAAGCGACTATTTACCGTAAACCCCTCCCCCTCCCCCCATAATCAATGTTGGTTCAGGTAAAGTGGATTTGCAACACATATCACCTAAATACCAACATTGTATAAGGGGAGAGGGAGGACAAAGTTTGAAAATTTAAGAAGTCTACTAATTTTTTTCCAGGATTGTAGTTTTGCTGAATCGTGCATCGTTACTGATTTTAGTACTATCTGGCTGTACTGCAGCCGGTCCCAGGTCTAAAATTAACCTCGTCAACCTGAATAATTTCATTAAAGTGCATGATTAATTAAGTATTCGCCGTCGTTGCAGGATTGCCAACGTACATGCGTGAGGTCCCTAATATGGGTGTACGCTATACTCCGGAACAAGATCTCATAGTTCAAGAAGATAATTATTATTGCTGCTTCAATAACCTTTCTTTTACTGGAAAAATAATGTAGTTTTGCTGAATCGTGCATCGTTACTGATTTTAGTACCTCAAAATCATATCCTGTCTCACATTTTGTCCCGGCAAAGCGGCATCATATAAAGAGCTCTTCTGAGAAGTACTTTACTTTGCTGGAAAATGTTTCTGATAAATGATTACTGATTTGTCCACATGATTAAACCTATAACAAGAAAACGTGGAGATCGACGCTCCTTTGTTTGTCATGCACCTTTCTAAAAGTCTTGTACCTCTATTGTAGGTGCTGACCCTCTCTCAAGTGATTTGTGGAATCCAGGTCCCCACGGTTTGGGAGGCAATGGTAACGGATCAAATAGTTGCGTGGACACTGGCCCTTTCAGAGCACAGGTGTGGTCCGTGATCCAAAGTGCAGGAGGAGGATGCCTTAGGAGACAATTTCGGTAAGTTATCTTTTAATGTTTTAAAATAGGGAACTAAATAAATACGTTAGTAAACAAATAAATATATAAATAAATAATTAGATAAATGTTAATATGTTAATGTAAAAAAAACGTAGTTATTAAATAAGTAGATCTTAAAACTCAAGAAGAAATTTTTAAAATTTAATGTTAATGAGGTGTTGCTTACACATTTATACAAAATTTTACTGCTTAATTTGCATAAACGTTTTCATTCATATCAGTTAAAATTACTTCTTATTGCAATTACTGAATATTTCCTCAAAACAAATTTGTTGAAATATCAAAACCCTGGCTTGCGAGGTTGTTGAAATATATGAATTTCACAGCTCTATTCTGCTCGAGGTTGTATATCTGACAGAGCACAGTTGCACATACATGCCCGTCATGCCGTAATAATTACAAATAGATGAATAGATACATAAATACAGAATAATTAAATAAATAAATCAGTAAATAAATAAAAAGGCAAATAAATAGTTTCAGCTGTATAATAATTTTCTTTGCACCTGTAAAAGTATACCATCATTTTAACGCCATCTTCCAACCGCACTTACGCTTACTGAAAACAAAAAATTACTCCCAGCAGATCATGCCAACAAAACTACAATTTATAATTTCTATAGTTTTAGGACCCCAGATGCAGTTGCAGTTAAACAACTCATCATGAACAATGCAAACGTGTCAGACTTTGAAAGATTTGAATTTTTGTTACGATTGGAATTCCACGACTTAGTTCATTGCGTTATCGATGGAACAATGTGCACCCTCGACTCAGCATCGGCGCCCGAATTCTTTTTACATCATGGTTTCGTCGACAAAATTTGGTGGGATTGGCAGCGTCTTAGCAGGACTCATAAGTTTAATGAGTATTTCTTGGCTCAAAAACAGCGTATGCCGGCGACCGTGTACAGATCGCAAGATTTCTTGGACTTGAACAATCAGCCTGGATGTGTATGCGCGGAGTATGTGCCGTCAAGGAGTAGAATGTATACAGCTTTGCAAGGTAGGTTTTTTACTATGCCATATACACAGGACAGCGCGCAAGGGTGCTATTTTTAAGGCGCAATGGAAAAAGAGCATTTAAGTTTGAAGCTCATTTGGGAACTTTAAGTCAATTTTAATTAATGTACAACACGATCCACATTCACGATCATCGAGGCCACAAATTGACAGCTGAGATGAGCTTATGATGACATGTACCGAATATTAATGAAAATGGGATTTATATCCCCACCATTTAGGACCCTCTTATAATAGTGTTGTCTTCACCAATGAAATCAATTTATATCATTTGAATTCCATTTATTTTTCAGAGGCAAGCAGAGAAAAGCTGTTAAGCATCAAGCGACTTCCAATGCCACATATGCCGGAGAATGCAAAAAAATTATTTAAAATTACGGAGGAAGAACTTGATCGGTTACACAAGCTTATGGAGAATATCGAACCACGAGAAACAACAACGAGCGCATCATTACATGGGAAAGACAAGGCACGGGGATTCAAGTATGCTGATCTTATGAAATAAGGTATAAATAAGATCTAAATTAGGTTTTCAAAATCAATAACGTGGAACAGATAGATATATCTATCTCCAATTTATTATTAATTTAATTCACTGGAAATTAACCAAACATATCCCTTGATGATGCTAGATACTAATTAACAGCCGGATTCCACAAGCGCAAAATTGTTTGGGAGAAATTGAGTTTGCAAAATGTAGAAGATGAGTGATTGTATGGATGGTCCCGCTTTTTTGCTCTGGTGATTAACTTCCCCGAGAAAACCTGTGCGCTTTCGAATTTAGGGCATAAATTTTATTTACTCTTTGCATTATCTGGGTCAAATTATGTCATTTTAAATTAAAAGCTTAATGAGTAATATTAATAAAATTAATAAGCTTAATGCAGTTGCTTGCACCGTTAACTCTATAGTACGTCCTCAGGTTCTCCACTTGTCTGGAACAAAATACTTGGCTTGAAACACGCTACTCGGACTTGAATCCTGTCTAATTTTAAACATTACAACTGTGTTTTTCTTTCAGATGACGCACACGTAGCCAGAGTGATGTAATGCTTGTCTGAAAAAGAAGAGCAAATTATTTAAGAATCCAAAACTATTACAGAGTTGTAGAAATTTTTTAGGGTAGGCTACTATAGACATGTTACCATGACAAGGTGGAAACGAAACGCACATCAGTTGAAAAATGTAAATTTGGTGGAAACGAACGTAAATGGCGCTAGTTGATTGCGAATATCATATGTAGCCTAATTATCTATCAGTGGATACAATCTGCCTGAGATTAAAAATATATTCAAAATAAATTAAAATTTAAATCGTTTACAATTTAACTCGTTCATAGATTTTGTGATTTGGTCATGAATTTCTGGACAATAATTATTTGTTAGAAAGCAAAGAGTATCTGTCTTGAATAAAACAATAACTATGAGGAGTTCGACGTTTTTAAAATTTATTTCTAACCACTTATATAATACCCGTTGCTATGGCAACAATGACGTTTCAATTTGGCGAATATTTTTGGTTTAATTTGATTCGAAAATATGTTCGGTGACCCCCATTTTTTATTTTATAGCATGATTCATTTTAGTATGTTGAATCATTTTCATGTCGATTTTAATTCTGTCATACCAAAATTGTTCAAGGTGGGAAAATTCGTAGCAAATTTTTTTCGCATGATATATTTTTTTAAATCATGGGAATGATTCAAAATAATAAACGAATTCTTTTTTATGAAATAAAGATGGGGTTACCGACCTTTCCAAGTTTTAATATCGGCCTTATTGAAGCGTTATTGTTGCCATAGCAACGATTCCTTCTTCTCGAAAAAATCAAACTCTGTAGTTATTTAGTTTCCTGGTCGGACTTTATTTGTCTTTTAACATATAGGAATTGTTGAAAAATTGGGTCTAAATCGGTGGTCTTTCATTTTCTAGTGCACCGTATAAGGACCACCAATAGAAAAGTAGATGCATACAAGATCTATAAAATGGCACCTAATATATATATAGAATAATTTTGTAGATGGAAATTTCAAGTGCACATTTTCTACATTTATCTATACATCCAGTAGCCTTTACATGTATAAATGGTTAAAATTTACAATAAATGTTTATATAATAACTTTAAGAATTCAAGCGCTTTCAATGGTCTATTAGAGAGCCATGATCTATTAGAGGACATACGCACGGAATTGCGTCACATATAAAACCTTATACCCAATAGCTTTCCCTTATTTGTAAAGATCACGTAATGTACGCGTGCTATTTCTAAAATTCGACTTTTTGAATGAAGTGGTAAAAAGTACGTAATCTATCTAGCTGGGGTTTTCCTTTTATTATATAAAACAAATAGATAAGATTTTGTCGTTGTCTGTTCAGTTATAGATATTATGACGCCATACTGTGTATCTATAACTGAACAGACAACGGCAAAATCTTATCTATTTGTTAAATATAATTTAGATTCGAAATTACCATCTACAAAATCCTGCAACATTAGTTCAATCGAGTGTGACGTAAAATAACCTTGAATTCCAACCTAACCATTCATGCCAAGGTACTTTGAAGGAGCTGTGATAACCATGCAGTTTGTCCATGCAGTAATAAATTCGCATTGCGTAATCTTTAATTAATTAAACAATTTACTCATGTGGTAAATTCAAAGGTCGAGCTCATGCACGTCCAAATTAATTAATACAATAAATTCACGACGCATGCAGTTGAATCCTAACCTACTCTAACCCCCACTCTAACCCTAATCTGATCTAATTTTAATCTGACTCATATCTAACCTATCCTGGACCAGGGGGTTTTCTATTTCAGTGAAGCTGTATCTTGCCCTCAGGCGGTCCTGGCCAAGCTTGGAAACCCCCTATAAGCGCGATGTGTAACAAGGGGGAATTTCGTTCTCGACCAATCAGCGCTTTTGTTTACATTTTTCCCCTAAGCCAATCAGAATGCGTAAAACGCTTCATCACATGAAATTTGTAAACAAACATATGGAGTTACTTCAGAGCTTATCTGCAAGCGGTTTTTTGGGTTTTTTCCCATGAAATTCATATATGTTGTTCTTAAAAGAAATATCCTCAACTTCCTAGTGGCGATTTTTAATTAATTGCGTGATTGCGAAGATATGGGTCTTCAAACTTTGCCTTGCGCAAGCTTAAATACCATTCCTCGAATTTGTAGGCTCCGAACGGATTAGCGTTTTTAAAAGCCTTTCAAATCGAGGTTTGAGAGGTTTTGTTTTTTAAAAGATACTTTTATCTTCATATTTTCACATTAACTTATTAATATCCTGTGTAACAAGTAAACAGGACACTTCCGGGCCGGGACAAGTTGACATGTCGAGTTCTTGCTAAACAGCGTGGCGATCAATATGGCGAATATCTAAATACAGGCAATATGTAAGGCTATATGTAAGCCAGGCTATATGTAAGCCAAGAAATTCACCATATACAATAAGCACTGTATCCAAAACAGGCAACATGACAGGCTTCAAGCATGTGTTCTTGATAGCCTAGATATATAAACAGGTCCCCAATAGATCCCGAGACTATAATTGAAAAACATTTTAGTCCATAAATTTGTGCATTACCAGAATACCTGTGCACAAAGGAATATTTTACACATATTATATAATAATGCAATCCAATATTAAGCCCCCAGTAACCTCACAAATAGGCCTCCCTTCCAAAAATCAGATCTGATCCCTTCCAAAAATAAGCTCTCACTGTTAAGGGCTGTCAAAATGGACCATGCTAGCCCAGCAAACATGGCTGGATTTTCTTCAGTTCAGGACTAGTTTGTCATTTGCCTCACAGGAGTCAGGCTAACCTGGCAACTGTTGTCAAGAAATTTGTGTGAAATGCCGGTTAATTTGTTAATGACAACAGCTTCAGAAGGCTTATATTAATCAATTTCTTACTTACTTGGGCCAAATTGTGTATTATAACATGATTTTTAGTCGAGTGAGCTGGTTGGCCAGCTTATGACCTTTATTATAGTGTGAGACTCCCAATGTAGGATATCAACTTGCTCAAGCAGATGTTGGGCCAATAATTTCAACCAGGCTGTTTCATGTGAATGCAATCTCAAACATATATAAAATTAATATACGAGGCAGTATCTTACCATGGGCAGATGTATATTTAGCCCATATAAATAGGCAAGACCAGCTTGCCCAGTGTGATATTATACTACTGACAATACCTGATTGATTCTACAAGATTATGGCCTAAAATGTTCCAATTGTAGTTTCAGGATCTGCTAAGGGTCTGTTGATATGATCTGGGCTAGGCAGCATGGGGCCCTAAAGGCAAGTTCATGTTGCCTGGTTGTGGGATAGAATGTTTACTGTAAATGGTGAATTTCTTGGCTTGCATAGTTGGGATTCTGGCAACGGATACCTTGTGCTTAGCCAGGAGAGTAGCAGGATAGTATATCAGCAATACTGGCAAATGCTGTCTCCTGCCTAGCCAGGTCATAAGAACAGGCCCCATTTGTGACTAGTGGGCCAGATTAAGGAAGAAACAACGAGGGTCCTATGACTATGCTATGAGTGACTTAGTCACTGTGACTATATATGTCCATAAATTTTGATATCTGAACAAAATTTTGATATCTGTCCCAAAGTCATCCATCTTCCTTAAGTTTAGGAGACCAATGAATATATTGTCATTCAAGGATTAAAAACAATGAAGACAAGTGTTATGGTCAAACAAACGAAAATATTCATGTCCACAGGCTGCAACACGCAATGTTGACACATTATTCTGAAGTCGACTAAGCTCGACTAAATGTCGAAATCGACGAAAAACGAGCCAAAAAACAGTTATTGAGCTAATCAATCAAATAAATACTTGGCATAAGTTTGAAGGTCCATAGTCCAAATATTTGATGAGTTTCTTTAGCCCATTTATACCAACAAATTTTAAAAACTCCCTGTATTTAGATATTCGCCATATTGATCGCCACGCTGTTTAGCAAGAAATCGACATGTCAACTTGTCCCGGCCCGGAAGTGTCCTGTTTACTTGTTACACAGGATATTAATAAGTTAATGTGAAAATATGAAGATAAAAGTATCTTTTAAAAAATAAAACCTCTCAAACCTCGATTTTAAAGGCTTTTAAAAACGCTAATCTGTTCGGAACCTACAGATTCGAGGGGTGGTATTTAAGCTTGCGCAAGGCAAAGTTTGAAGACCCATATCTTCGCAATCATGCAATTAATCAAAAATCGCCACGAGGAAGTTGAGGAGAATTCTTTTAAGAACAACATATATGAATTTCATGGCAAAAAAACAAAAAACCGCTTGCAGAAAAGCTCTGAAGTAACCCCATATTTTTGTTTACAAATTTCATGTGATGAAGCGTTTTACGCATTCTGATTGGCTTAGGGCAAAAATGTAAACAAAAGCGCTGATTGGTCGAGAACGAAATTCCCCCTTGTTGCGATGTGTTGGTTGATTGATCTCGTCGAACCAATCAGATGTCTAGGTTCAGATTTTGACCCTAGTCATCTGATTGGTTCATTGGCAAACATCAATAAACGTTTACTGTATTCTATATTATTTTATATTGTTCAACAAGTGAGTGCATCTCGTTGACAAAAAGGGATTCTTCGTGGAAAACTTTATGATACAGTTAGATCAAATAGCGTCATTGCAGACATGTTAAAAACACAATATGATTATGACAGATGATGCGATAATTCTGTGTATGTTGAGTACTTGAGCGGAATTTTGTCGTATGTATGTGATTGTGTTGTGCTGTATGCTGTTTTGTGTATGATCAGTTGTTTTCATGTAGTTTGTTTTAAAATTGTGTAGCCGGTATTGTGGAATTCATGAATATTCATGAACAAAAATTCAGTCGCGGCAAGCTTTGTACGTATTTGGGCTACATATATTATATATTCATGTAAATATACACAATGTAAATTTCAATTAATACTAATCACATAGAGGGAAAAAATATTCAAATACGATTGGCTAATGAGGAGGGCATTTTTTCTTAATTCATGGCAAAATTACTTGTACCTGATTGGCTGACACGCAAGCGCGGGAAGTTTCTTGTTTTAATTAAATAGCAATAAAAACAATGCCTTCTCCCTTTGTCGTCGCTGATAATGATATTATTGAAGAATTAAAAATTTCTTGTGAAATTTTTGTTATTACTTCAGTTAATGGCTATTAAGACTATATTATAAAACAATTATACCATTCGCTCTCGTCGTGTACGGCTAATAGTCGACTCGGTGCTACGCACCTCGGTTTAATTGTTAAATATAGATCGGCCCTCCGCTCGGGGGATTCGTCGAAAAATTACCCTCAGTGATGATATTTCCTTCGGGGCAAAGCCCCTCGCACCATGGTTTAATTAATTGTTATATATAGACCGGTCCTCCGCTCGGGGGATTCGTCGAAATATTACTCTCAGTGATGATATTTCCCTCGGGGAAAGCCCCTCAGGAAATATCATCACTTCGGGTAATATTCTGCCTAATCCCCCTCGCTCCGGGTATATAAATGATAAGTATTCTCTAGTTATAATCACTTCGCGTATTTTCAGTTTAAAATGTTGTATTTCGGCTGATACGAAAGATCGTGACTCAACCTTTAAGACCGTTACGAAACCAGACGTTATGGAAACCAGACGTTAATGCCCATTGATCAGGGCATCTTAAATAATTTCATATATTCAAATTCGAAATAGAAATGATTTCAGCACTTGCATGGAAGAACGAAAATGTGACCAACATATGAAAGTTTGGATGAAGTAATTTCGCCACATTGAATGACAGAGATAGAACTCGAACAACGCGGCAACTTCCAGTATGCTGTCAGTGAGATAGTTGGATTTGGTTTAATTCAAATATTTTTAATTCTAAGCGGCTCGAAAAAGGATTATATTGAAATAATGTTCGGGAATTATTAAATAGTTGACAGCCGACAGTTGTTGAGTCTGGTTCCCATATATGGTCATAAAGATTGAGTCACGATCTTTCTCAACAGCTGAAATACAACAGTTTAACACTGATAACAGACAGAGTGATTATGAGTAGCAAATACGTATGATTTGTATGTGATTTACAGGTAGAAACTATTGTAATCTGGCCGTTGGGAAAAATCGTGACTCCATCTTTACGACAGATAGGACCATAATTATGGAAACCACGCTTTCCTTTAGGTTTAAAATTCCGAGCCGGTGCTGCATGAATGCATGTATTATAGTTCATGCAATTTATTTCGTTAATACCCATACGTCAGGGCATCTTAAATTCGAAATGAGAATGATTTCAGCACTTGGAAATATTGGAATGCGACAGACAAGTTTTGATCGGATCGTAATTGGCCATTTTTTCTCGTAATGACGAAAATCGGTCTGATTTGGCAGCTATAAAGACTGAACTTCGTGCAGGTTAATACTCTGAATTATATATACAAGAAAATAAAATATAAAAATAGAATTTATGTCCGTAAGAGATTTCAGTAAACTAACTTCACCCGGACAACCATTAATTGTCAAAAAACAAATACAGTAACATAAAAATATATTTTATTAGACGGAAATAAGACGAAGGCCTACCATGAAAGATCTTTCAGATTGTGCGAATGACAACGTCGCGTTGTATATAATTGAAGGGTATTGTATATAGAAATTGTCGAGAGGAACAGATGCAAAAAAAATGCAACGATAAGTCCCTGGCAGGAATCCAACCTGCATGCGGTCCTACGATCCAGCGCAGCGCTCTAAGAAACTGAGCTATGCAGGGTCGTTGTCAAGCTCTGACTATAACCACAAGTGAATTCATGTATACTGTATATACTAGGGTACTGCCAAGTTTGGGTATGGGTAAATATTAAGATTTTGTTGGCATCTGAAACTAATAATAGTTGAAAAGTATTACTGCAAGTTTACTATTAAAGCCATATTTCAATGTAATATGCAAATTACTAAAGATTAAAATATATCATGTTCGTGATATTTGAATATGAGCACACTGACCTCCCCAGACAAGAACAAAACTGTATTATGCAGTATAATGAAGATTCTTTATTAGTGGGACGGAAGGTTTCAAATAATAACCAACAATGAAACCTATAGTGTTTCCACGGAACGAAAAAATATTATACCGATCACCATGCAAACTTGCAAACATCTACTTAGCAAAATGTTAATTTATCAGCCCACATTTAAACAAACTGAGGAAATGTCATCAAGGATCAAGGAAATACACGTAGTATAAAAACGCCGCATTTGAAGTAATCTACACTTACATCATTTGGTAGCACCAGAGACGAAAGATTTTAAAGAACTTCATATTGAAATTGAAGCCGTTAACTAAAAAGAAATGAAGTTGATTTTGCAAATAATAATCATTGTTATTGTTTTGGTAAGTTGTAAAATTCTTGTTCAAAAGATCTTGTACTGTAGCTATGATTACTGACACTTATTTTTATTTGTTCATGTATTGATGAGTCTATGTTTCTGATATGTTGTTTAGGTAATAGACCATGTACAACCAAAACCAACATTCGACACAGAATTAACGCGTATGTATATTTATAACACCTTATTATTATAATTAATTAATAAATTTCAGTTATGGAAGACGGCTGGCCGAATCCTAAAAAAGCATTTTTTTTATATAAAAGCTGCCAAATAACTGGCATTTTTTAGTACAGATAATAGTGAAGAAGACCATAAACGTTGCAACTCTGATTTTAGCTTTAGGGGTTGTTTGCATGCAGCACGACCCGGCTGGCCGGGCTGGCCCAATTAACCAGGCAAAAACTTTATCAAGCCAAATATGGCGGGAAAAAGTTGTTTATACTTGTTTTTACCGTAACGTACGTTTGTCACGCAAGGCAAATGCACGTTTTATAGAGCTAATTTTCGATTTATTAACAATCTAATAGACAAGAACAACTGACAATAATTCATATCGATAATGTAGCTTGTACAGAATTCTCTCGCTAGCACGGTTAAGTGTGATCTCGGCTGGGCTTGCCCGGTTTACATGTAAAACTAAAATTGTTTTGTTAAGGGATTTGTATTAAGCCGGGTGCATCTACTTTTCTTTTCGCCATAAGCAACTGAGAAGAAAAGGGAGGGAACAACTTGTCAGTTGTCAGTAACGAGTTGCAGTATTTTGTAATTACCTGTATATTACTATATTATTAGATGTTAGTAATTAGACCTATACACGTGTTTAGTTATGTTATATATTATAAGGACAAGAGGATTTGACCTTATGTTATTATTTATTACTGGATTAAAATAAGAGACTCTCGCGAATAAATAAATCTCTTTCCGAGGTATCTGAAGAAAGAATTTTGAAATCAGACGTAGAAATGTGCTGTTTAATAAAGTGAGTATATCACATCGAAAAGAAAGAAACTCTAGAGGCGGAAAAAAGGACGGAAGACCACACGCACAGAAAAATACAGATAAGCCGAAGAGAGTATTTTTGTCTTCCTTACACTGCATGGTCAGCATGCATGTTTGCAAATTTGCTCACAACTTCATAAAATACTCTCTCTATACGTATTCGTGAGAGCCTTTTGATATCCAAAATTAATCCAGTACTATAAATACTAATATTATGTCAACTCCGCTTGACCTATTTTAATAACATAAGTACACATGTATGTATATTGTTCTAATTACTAACACTTAATGTTAATAATAGGTAATTAACTTGTAATGCTTTTTGTTTGTAGAAACACATGCACGCAAATTTATTGCTGCAAAGCTTTCGATCCATATATATGCCCCAAGGATCTTAATCATTTTTAATAATATTTAGCTTATTATACAAATTATTAGCACTGATAAAGATTCGGGCTTACGGATCGAAAGCTTTGCAGTAATAAATTTGCGTGGTGTTCCAACAAACAAAAAGTATTATATATTTTATCACATTGCAATCCTACAACTAAGCTAGAACTTATTAGGTAATTACTCAACATGTTACTAACAACTGTCACGTTGTTTCTTCCTCTCTCTTCTCACTCGCCTATTTGAATGAAACAAAATAAGGATTTAAAAGACCCAACCATGAACAACTGCTTTTGTGACTAGAAATACGAACTAGCTAAGAACCAACTCAGCATGATTTCTAAATAAAATTATCGTACCCATTATGTAGAACCACTTTAGCCATAGAAAGTACAATGAAAAGTTTCTCGTTTGTAAAACGAAACTATTTGCCAAACTTCTTATATAATTCGCAATTTTTATGAAGAGTGTTTACTGAGACAACCAAATCTATTTGTTTCCTAGTGACAAACAGCCCATGTGGCTATACGTTATGCCCATTTAATACGAGATGTATTGCAGTGGATGGTGCAGCAAGATGCGAACCTGTCCTAGATCTTGATCCAATATGTTCCAACGTGGAATGCAATTTAGACCAAAAATGTGCTCTACTTGATGGAAAAGCGACATGTCAACAAGCGTGCTCATATGATCGTGACTGCCAGCTTAAGCTGGTGGGTTCTTCTTGTGATACGTTGTTAGGAATTTGTAAATAAGAAACTGTCCGCCTTTCTAACAAAACATTATTAGAAGATTTTTTATTAAGACATATTAAGACATATTAAGACATATTAAGAAGGAGGCCAATCTCGTTTCCCGAGCCCGCGATCCTCGGGAAGGAACGTGACGCTCTGGGATAATCCTTTGCCCGAAGCCAAGAATCCTGGCTAAGACCGAACTGTGCATTCCATATCAACGGCCAATCAGATTCCTCCCTGAAACGGATTATCCCAGAGCCTCGCGTTCCTTCCCGAGGATCGCAGGCTCGGGGAACGAGATTGGAAGGAGGCTTGTTATGAGATAACTGTTTTATTGCCGGTATAGATATGATGCTGAGTTTTCCGAATGAATTTACTTATGCGAAAACTCGTTTCGTAATGAAAAGCCAATCTGATAAGCGAACAATTCTCTCACATGTTGGAAAAGCGTTTCGTCCAATCATATGATAACACGATGGCGTATGAGTAAATTCAATCAGAACGGCAGGAATTTTCCGACTTTTGTTATGATTTGTTATTTCGCCTGACACTATAAATGAACTTATTTTATCGCTTTATATCGATATTTATTGTTGTTTGAATGAATTATTGATCTTATTTAATTTTTATATGCATATATGACTTTTTAATGAATTATAAATTTACATCGTTCATTGTTACTATGGCTATTTTTCCAAAGGCAAACACCAACGTATCAAAGTTTAAGTTAAACGGCCGCCTGTACTATTGTGTAAGATCTGCATGTGACATCATAGAAGAGACAGTGGTGTCAAGTAACGAAGTAAATGTACTTCGTTACTGTACTTGAGTACTATTTTTGAGAAGTGAGCATGTAACAAAGTAAACTTTTTCTGGAGTACTTTTACTTGGAACGAAGTCATTTTAGGAAGTATAACGTTTTACTTCGTTATTTTCATTTTGTGGCGAAGTATTTCGTTACTTTCTAACTTTTGTTTAATTTTACGTTATTTATTCCTGATTTATTTTAATTCCTGGATAGATAATACGACCTCTACATATGTCTGGAATCTCTCGTTTGTGACTTACTTATAAACATTATTTATTTAATGGATTTCTTATATCTTCAACGGGTTCTGGAATGTAGACCATGCCGTGAAATATGTACATTCGGTGCACGCATATAATGCGTGTGCTGTTTTGTGTCTTTTGTGTATGTCAATCCATTGGGGAAATCCCCCTCCCCCTCTACACGCTACAGACAATAGTTCTTTTACTTTTACTTTGTACTTCAAGTATTTTTTAAGGATACTTTGTACTTTTTACTTAAGTACGTTTTGCTTCCAGTACTTTTTACTCTTACTCAAGTCGTTTTATTGTCAGTTTTACTTCTACTTTTACTCGAGTACAAATTCAAAGTAATTTAGGCACTACTGAGAAGAGATAACTCTAATTTAATTATAACTTTTCCTAGTAAATTTACTAATTACTACTGAACTACTAAGAGGGTGATTACATGAAGAGTTCTTGGTCCGGACTGATTTACAGACCAGTTGCCAGAGTTGAAATTTCACCTGACTTAAGATTATTCCGCAGTTTTGCATTGCGCACTTTTACTGCGCACGTCATATAACTTATAATTTCATCCATTATACGTACCGTTTAAAAAAAATCATTTTATGACAATTTTATGTTACTTCAAAACATCTTTGGTTACATTCGTGCAAAGAATTACGTTAAAATCAATGTTTTCAAGAAAGCCATACAAAAGTGTAGCAAGGGTTCCTGTGTCTGTAGTATATTTATTTACTTGTATTTCACGTTTTATTGCCACAATTCCCTAAAAAGATTGGTGACCCCCATTTTTTAACTGATAATTTATTTCTTTAATGCATTTTACATTTCATATCCGAAATTAAAAGAAAAATTATTTCTGGGTCTTAAAAAGAGATGCTTTATCAATGCATGTTCTCAAATAAAGATATGTAAAGAAATGTGGGAAAGACATTTGTGGATCAGAATTGTACACGTTAGTAGTTTCATTTTGCACAAAACACAAGTGTTTTTCAAAAATAATTACAACATAGGTTTACTAAAGGAAAATCCGCGCAAGAAACGTCAATAAATATCGGGCTGTTGTGACTTTGCTGTTACTCGTAATAAACTTCAAGATGTCGCCATATTGGGGTAAAGGCGGTATATTGTGATTGTCATATCTTTTTAACGAGTTCGGTGATCCCGACTTTTTTCTGTGATTTTACTTTAAGTATATCATAAACTCCATGCCTGGGAAGTTTCAGCACATTCTCATTTCGGGAACAATTACTGCGGAATTACCTTAATGGTGCCGGAACACTATTAAAATACAGTGTATACGATTACATGACCAAAGCCCGGTCTGATAATCACCAAGAATTTTGTCGGGGGCTAAAAAAGACTCGTTCAATTTTTAGTTTATTTGCGTGTTGTCACAGTCTGTCAAGATATAATGGTCTTGAAGCCGGGCAAACTTCAAAGACCTTTGTTTGATTTGAAATGCACCTCACAGTGCGCAAATTCTTTGTCTCAACTTCATAAAATATTATTCATCGTGGCTGCACGTTTCAATTAAGCGGCCACTTAATCATACGAAAATAAGCGAGTTCGATCACCGTGACCGCGTAACATAAACTCATAAGACAAAAACATAAGACAATTTCTGCGACCTCGTTCCCGAGCTCCGCTCACCCTCTTGCAACGGAGAGATCCCGGTATGATGTGGCACGTAAGTGATGACAGCCGACGCTTAGCGTGCTATACCTAGTAGGGGTGCTACCTCTCTACTATTCTGTGAAAATGTCTGTGAATATGTCTAGAAATAGAGAGGTTAAGATACCCCGGTTCCGTTTTACGGGCATGAGTATCGTCATTTTGTTTACCAATTTTTGTCGATGTCGGCATTTTTACCCGTAAACCATGGTCTACATGCACGTAAAAGACAAACGAGTACGGGTGTTTTCTGTTTACTATTTGTGGGCCTTTTAAATAGTAACAATTTTCAACATCTTACCCTAATAAATAATGCACTTATGCTAGCTTGTCAAAGTTTTCAACAATCTATGACGAACCTCAATAAAGAAAGTTACCATTCTCTGATAGGTTTACTCGCGCCGGAATATCTTGGATTTCTTAAGTTACAAGTTGTTCCCCGGTTTACGGGTACAGGTACGTGTATATCACCCGTACCCGCAAACCGGGTATCTTAACCTCTCTAATGTCCATGCATGATCTTCTAACATATCCGAGCTATTCGCATTTTCTGTAGTTAAATCGAGACTTTTCAAAATCTTCGACCATAATCGCTGAACTATTCTACCTACCTCTTCAATTTTATTTTTCTCTACGGGATTGAACTGTTATTGAACTTAAATTTAAAACTTTTTTATCGCCGCCGGGAGAAGAAGAAGGAGAAGATTAGCAGGGATTTGGGACCAATTCCTGGCGTAAAAAAACTTTTTGCTGATGCACGTCAGAAAATTAACTGTCAGTTTGTTTAGATTTATGAAATAAATTAAACGTTCCTAAAAATGAGCTGGGAGGTATTTGCATATCATGCCTTAAAAAATCCAGTACTGGGGAATCTTGTCCGAGAAAGCTTTTCCCTTCCACCGCTCCGATCCCTTGGAGCACAATTCCCGCGCTATCTGCTTGGGAACTTTTCGCGGGTATCTGAATTCTGAGATATGAGGTCTCTCATTTGCAGTAGCTTGCATTCTCTGGGCAATACTATTAACCAGCTCTGTCCCCATTTTACTTATCGCTCGTCACGTTCGTCGTACGTGGCAGCATGCATATTGCTCCCCTCCGTAAACAAATCGCTGCTTTCGATTCGACCAGATCGCTCAGCCGAATTGCTTCCCCGTATATAGGGCTGAATCTGCCCTACCGGTTCCCTTCCCTTTTCGATCGTCCCGTTGTCTCGCTATAACCTTGGCTTTTTCCCATACATGTCTAGTATAGGCATCTGTTATCGGATCGTTACGGTCCGTAATATTGAATACAGATGGTCGTGCGGCATGTGATACTTGACAAATAAGGTTCAACAGATCCCAACAGTACAGATAATATCACGTGAATGATGCAAAGTAACTGATATTGTACAGACCATACCAGCTGTATTAGAAAGACTACGGTCCGTAATTTAAGTACAGATTGAATCATATCGTTAACCTTCCCTCGTTCTTTAAGGCCCCGTTTACACTATACCGGATTGCTATCGGAGTGGGTCAAATTTTGTAGGTATCGAAAGGCTGTGAAGATTTTTAATCTCAAAGACGAAAATAAACCTGCCAATTCTGTCAAAATAATAAGCATTTGCTGCTAACCATTGCTCCGTAACAGCGAAAGAAGATGTCGTGACCAGCGAATCCGGTATAGTGTAAACAGGGTCGAAGGTTTACTTTATTAACTAAACATATATTTTGACTACATCTGACAATAAGGGAGCAGTCATATTAATGTCAGGGGGGGGGCGGAAGATATTGGGGGGTACCAAAAATTTATCAACCAGTTAGGGGGAGCTACCAAAAATATCAAAGAAAGGTAGGGGGGCCACCAAAAATAATGTACAATAATCATAAAACATCAGCAATTATAGTTCACTGTAATATAAATGTCAATGCAAAATAAATATAGGTAATCACACAGGAAGGAGTGCAATTAATTATATTAACACTACGAGTAATATTTGAAAAATGTGCCACAATTGCACAAGCTGTTAATTAATTGCACGACTTGCCCGAGTGATTATTTATTTTATGCATAGCATGATGAAATTCAATTAAAATTCAACTTCATTTTGTCAAGAGTTTTTAATTCTTTTGTAATCAATTAATTAGGCATAAACAAACTTGGGAAATGATCATAAACTCATAAAGGCACATAATTTAAACTAGGACAAATGATTCAAACTCAAATTAATAACATATGAAATTATTAAGAAAATCTTTATAAATTATATTTATACAGACTTACATATAGTCACGTTTCGCTGCATCTCG